AGAACAGAATAATGCAGGTAGCAGAGAATTCTTTTTATGCTTCATCATGTGGGAAAGCACTTGACTCTGATTATTTCTGGGGATGTTTGTTGATTATTCTGGCTATTGCATAGTGAGAGAGAATATTTGACTTTTTATCATTGAGTGAAAAATAATCTTGTTTACTCAACAGGAACAAATGGCGATTTTGTACAAATGGTGTTTGCCTTGCAAAGTTTGCACTCAATTTTCAACTCTAATATGTTGTGAAAGCATTACTTTCACAACATATTATACTAACTAAGAAGATATTAACATATTAAACAAAAACTCAAAAGACAACGTACTTCGAATTCTGAATTTTGATGATTTCCTAGGCTATCAATAAATATCCAGGATATAATACGTCTAGCAAATGAAAGGAACAGCTTGCTTGTGATAGGGAAATCTCTGTATATAATAAAAGAAAGAGTCTGTGTGTGTGCCTTTCGTTCGTGTTGCGCGTAAGCTAATAAGACCCAGGCCTACGAAATTTGGTACATAGGTGCATCTAGACAAGAGCCCAGTGCACCTCGAAGCGATATTCTCAAAATTCGAATAGGATTTTTTAAATTTATATTTTTTGATGTAATCTCATCATTTTGAGTAGTTTCATTCTTTTAGAAATGTGGTTTTGGCAACAGTTTTTCATTCAATGCTTTGTATAGCGGACTGTTGAAAATATGAGATAAAGTAATTATACACACAACACGCACATCGCAATCTTCTCATTCTGACGCGCATGTGTCTCGCAAGGCACAATAGAAAGAATTTCCTTTTTTTCCCCTCTCTTTCTCTTTATTAGCTAATGGCAAAGAGGTTTGTATATTTTGAATTATATTATCCGCAAAGCACAATTTTGATTAGTTATTGATTTCTGATGGCAGTTTCATTCCTTTAGAAAGGTGGTTTTGGCAACAGTTTTTCATTCATTGCTTTGGATACTGGACTGCTGAATGTTTTCTCTTGAAAATATGGGGTTTATTGCTTATTTCATTGTATTTCTTTTATATAATGTTTTAATTTTATATAATTTTAATTATAGAAAAAATTTTGTATGATTGTTTTTAGGAAATAAAGTTCTTAACTTGCTTTATACCATTTGAATTTTTAAGATTTTGCAACGGGAAATTAATTAGTTTATTTATTATGATAATTAATATTTGTGTTAAGGGATATTGCTTATTTCATTGTAATTTTTAATATAGAATACATTTTTTTAAAAATTTCTCTTTTTTCTTGGTGGTTTTTTTTTTTTTTTTAGTCCAAAGGGATTTGAATCCCGAAGGACTATTAGTTTCGTTTTGGCATTTTGCGTCGGACTCATAAATGTCGGTTCCCTTTTCACACTGTTGCCACAAAATGTTAGAGTCCTGCATTATATTTGAAGAAATTAAATAATGAAAAATCTGCATAAATGTATGTATATTTCTCGTATTGTGATAAAACAACGGTACATAGAGTCATCGAATTTTGAATAACGTAATCCTCCAACGAATATGAGCATGTGGAAGACCAAATTTGAAATTTTGTTTTATGATCGATTTCCTATTTTTTTTAAAACTTTGACGAATTTTTTGATTAACACAACTCAAGGATTTCAAAGCGAGCAATGGCAACGTTGTGCAGAAAAAAACATTTTTATCTCCAGCGCGTGAGTCTCTCTGTATCGGAAATTCTAAAGATAGGCTCGTTTTTAAAACTATTTTTGCGATATTGCTGTTGCACTGGATCTTATGGTTTAAGTGCGAGGAACATGATATTTAATAAAGAAAGGTAACACACAAAATGTTAAAAAACGCCCCTTTGGACGTAATTTAAAATCTGAAACATTTCAGATTTTGTTTTTTTTTATAAAGTTGTTTTGCAGAGTAAAATTCTGTGCAGTTTTTAAATTAAATGTTTGGTGTTCCCTTTAAGCATTTTAGGCACCGGTGGTTATTGGGAAACAGAAAATGCCATGTGAACGTCGTTGTTGACCAATCACATGTTAACTTCCTTTTGTAGTTAAATTAATCACTGGTAAAATGGTTGTAAAAGACAACATTTATTTAAAGATAAATCTTAATAACTTACACGTAACGTATTCGTAAACGTACATAACATAGCAAACGTACTTACTGCATCGTACCATTAAACATTTCACGCGTACGTTATCTCAATGTATATTTTTATACATCATCTATATTTTTAAAATTATAAATAGAACTCAGAAATTAGCTGTTGCCATTTCCTCAATAGATCTTTTGTCTAATAACAATTAAATAATTTACAATCGCTCTTACACACATCCTCTTATTACATCTGTTTTCCCGACTGGAAATAGATTTTTCCTTCAATACAACACTCGTCGTCAAAAAGTTAGAACTAGGCTACAATAGTTCGAGGAACATTAATTCCACTTGATGTCCTGATTTCCTAATTCTTTGGATGTAACTTTTATTGAGTATATCTGCTATGTCACGAAGCACAGATTTCACCAACTACCCCGTCGCTATCGACGAGAATCGTGGCTTTTGCAACTGATTTGCTTGCTAAAAGTGAAGCAACATGGTATTAGGATGGTGGTCGTAATAGTTTGGTAGAGATTTTCTAATTCTTTGGATGTAACTTTTATTGAGTATATCTGCTATGTCACGAAGCACAGATGTCACCAACTACCCCGTCGCTATCGACGAGAATCATGTGGCTTCTGCTTGCAAATTTGGTATGAACTTCCTCCAGACACTTAGTAAGGACTTGCAGGGTGCCACGCTATAATGGCTTGCAGCTGATTTGCTTGCTAAAAGTGAAGCAACATGGTATTAGGATGGTGGTCGTAATAGTTTGGTAGAGTTTGGTAGAGATTTTCTAATTCTTTGGATGTAACTTTTATTGAGTATATCTGCTATGTCACGAAGCACAGATGTCACCAACTACCCCGTCGCTATCGACGAGAATCATGTGGCTTTTGCTTGCAAATTTGGTATGAACTTCCTCCAGACACTTAGTAAGGACTTGCAGGGTGCCACGCTATAATGGCTTGCAGCTGATTTGCTTGCTAAAAGTGAAGCAACATGGTATTAGGATGGTGGTCGTAATAGTTTGGTAGAGTTTGGTAGAGATTTTCTAATTCTTTGGATGTAACTTTTATTGAGTATATCTGCTATGTCACGAAGCACAGATGTCACCAACTACCCCGTCGCTATCGACGAGAATCATGTGACTTCTGCTTGCAAATTTGGTATGAATTTCCTCCAGACACTTAGTAAGGACTTGCAGGGTGCCACGCTATAATGGCTTGCAGCTGATTTGCTTGCTAAAAGTGAAGCAACATGGTATTAGGATGGTGGTCGTAATAGTTTGGTAGAGTAAGTAAATTCTGAAAAATGTTTTCATTACGGATGAAATACAAACTGGCATCACTGATGTCGCTTACATGTTGTTGTTTGCTCACTTTTTCTCCATGGTAATGGCAACATTAATTATATACCATTAGAGCTGCTTATATTTACATTTCACCTTACCTAAACCGTACAGCTTGTATCATGGGTTAAAGTATTAAATATTAATTGAAGTTAAGGTGCTACTTTGGTAGACGGTTGCACGGATTTTGGCGATGTTTTGGCGATTTTCCTTTGGCGAGTAATACAACTTATGGTAAACCCATTGCTGGATAAGTTATTTATGGTAACCGATACTTTGTTGTCATTTTATTTAAAAAATAATGCGTTTTATTGTGCATAAATTCCGTGTTTAAAATATTATTTATGGCTTTTAAATATTAAAAATCAATTTAATTTTGAATTTTTATTTGAAATAAAAATTTTATTGTTTATCATATTTTATGAAATTTTATGTTGTGGATGATGTAATCAATGACGTCACCTTACTTTAAAAGTAATTCGTTTTAATATGTATAAATTTAATCTAATGTTTTAAACATTATTTATGGCTCTTAAATATTAAAATACAATTTAATTTTGCATTTTTTTTTAAAAAATGATTTTATTATGTATGAATTTTTAAATAATTTTAATTCTAGCCGTGATGTAATAAGCTCTCTGAGTGGTTATAGAATATTTGTGCATTAACGAGCTGTAATCAGCTCCCTGATTGGTTACTGACAATTTGTGCATTTCCGCGCCGTTTTAAAATTTAATTTATATCTTCGAATTCCTTCAAAGATGTCTTCAAAGATGTTATCTAAATTATGATTCTGATTTTTTATTGTGGTACTTATATCAGTAAAGAACAGGTTAAACACTCAAAAAAATGTAAGTACATATTTTCTTTTATTTTAGAATTGTATACTTCAATTTTTGTTAAAAAAATTAATACACTATTTTCAGAAATTGCTGAGATAATTATTGTCCATATGTTTTAATGTTAATTATATTCTATATAACGTATTTGAATTAAATAATATTCTAATTCTTTTAAATGTTGGTAGGATGGTTTTTAATTCGATATTCAATTTCAGTAATATTTTAATCTAATTAAACGTTGGCCCAATGTTTTTATAGCGGTGTTTTTATTCTCTTCTTTGCTATATGAAAATAATAATAACCTTACTTTAGTATTTTATACTCATAGTAAATGTATTTATTTACGCTTGCCTGCCATCTTAAAAAACGACATTTTCAACAAAAAATTAATCCTTTTAACGATATTTATTTATTTATTTTTTAAGTTTCGAATACTTTACTATGTGTAAAAACAGCGTTTTTCAAGATGGCTGACGTTGTAAAAATCGCGCCAACAATTCGGCCAACGTAAATCGCCAAAAATCCGTGCAACCGTCTACCAAAGTAGCACCGAAGTTAATAGGTAATATATTAAAAAATGGCAACTCTGTAATCGGTAAATGCCTCGAGCTATGATTTTCTTTCCTCTTTGAAACAATACAATGTTATTAAGCAGATGCTAATTTTTCCAGCCTATTTAAGTTTTTATAAATAAAGGAAAAACTTTCATCAGAAGTAAAAACAAACAGTAGCAGGATGGATACCCACGACTTTGAGATTTTGGGAAGGCGGAAAAGCGCCGTCATTGCTTTTGAAAATAAAGTCCAGCGCATACGACGACAGCAAAAAATCCTGCCAAAGCTTATCATGAACGCAGTTAGAAAACTCCGGAACAGAAACGGTTCCAGTCTTCAAGACATTAAAAAGTTTTTAGCCTCGAAATATCAAATGGACATTATAATAATGAAAGATGACATTAAGATGGCAGTCAAAAGCGCTTTGGAGCGGGGCATGCTGAAGAAAATTGGCGGACAGTACAAAATGAGTAAAAAGACGGTAAGAAGGATCAAAAGCAACAGCAAGACATTATCCGCCAAAAGCAGAAGCAAAGTATTATCGACCAAAAGTAGCAGCAAAACGTTATCCGCTAGAATGAGCGCAAAAGCATTATCCATCAAGAGCAGCAGCAAAGCATTATCTACCAAAAGCAACAGCAAAGCATTATCGAGCAACAGGAAAACATTATCTACCAAAAGCAACAGCAAAGCATTATCGAGCAACAGGAAAACATTATCTACCAAAAGCAACAGGAAAACGTTATCCAAGAAAAGCAGCAGCAAAGCATTATCTGCCAAAAACAACAGGAAAGCATTACCCACCAAAAGTAACAGAAAAGCATTACGTATCAAAACAGACAAAGTATTATCTAGCAAAAGCAACCGTAAAGCATTACGCACCAAAAGAGACAGAAAAACATTATCTAGCAAAAGCAACAGCAAAGCATCATCCAGTCATTCAGCTAATAAATAGGAGAACAAGGCATCATTAATCGGTATTTGAAGGACAGAGTTACAAAATGGATCTCCAAAAAATTTACGTAATAGTAAACTACGAGAAAATGAGAAAATAAAAGAAGCAAACCATCACATTAATATAATGTTAGTTCTTTACTTTAAATATAATTTTATTCCAAACTAAAGAATTTTTGGTACTATTCGGTTTCGAGGGCCGTAAAAAATCGCCAAACTATTGTTGATGCCAATGCTGCCAAAAATTATTGCGGCAACCCTAATAATTGCGGCAAGAAAGGAAGTATAATAGTAAATAACTATCTAAGATTGATGTTTTAATTTAGATGAAAGGTTAATTTCATATAATACTTTTTATTATTATAATTTATATGAAAAAGGCTAAACATGACTGATTGGAAGCATAAGAATAAATAACTATTTCAGATCATTATTATAATTTATATAAAAATTGCTAAACATAACTGAATGGATACCTGCATCGCTATTTCGCTACCGACTTATCGCTAAAGCATAATTTCCTCTCGTTGGTTGTTCAAACATAATTTTCTACAATGAATGATGCCTTTTCTTTGAAAATATTCTCGGTAAAGTGCAGAATCGCTCACTTATTTGTTTGCCGCTTTTTACAAGGGTAAAAACAATTGAATTTTTGTCAATTTTTTTTTTTACTTTCTAAAGTGGTGAAAATAGGTCGATGTGCACATGGATACTGAGTATGTGCAATTCTTAAAAACGCGTCAAACCGTGGGTGATTTTGCACTTTAGCCAAAATTCTACTGCCGACTTTTCGTCGTGGGCAATTCCCAAATTGTTAAATCCATAGGATATTAAAAAAAGGGGTTTAAAATCAAAAAAGGATTTAAAAATTAAACTAGTATTTCAATGGCGTCTTAAGAAATATGAACTTACGCAATAATTGCGTCTATATAAAATTACGCAATCTGAAATCAGAGCGTACGCTAGATTTGGTGCACTGTTAAATGGGCGCGTTTGCTAGATTTGGCGCTTTTGCGCATACATTTTTGCTGCAATTTTTTACGGTCCTCAAAACGGAATAGTACCGAATTTTTTAACGTCCTTCATTAGCTCCTTAGATTTTAAGTAGTAAAATATAAACTAATTCTTAAAGAAGCCCGTTTATGACACGAGTTGAAATATTTATTATTTAAGAAAAACTGTTATAACCCTTTCATGACGCTTGTTTAAATATTTGATTTATGAAAAACCGTAATAACCCGTTTATGACACTTGTTGAAATAATTATTACTTATGAAGAACTATAATATGTTTTATCCATACCCCTCGCATTTTTTCTTGGCATTTATTTATCAGCGATAATCAGTCACGTTACATATAAATTTGCATGAAAGGAAAAAAACGCCTTTCTTAGTAGAGTAAAAGAATGTGATGTACACACATACCAAGAAAAAAGCATTTATATGTTTGTACGATTTTCGATTTGAAAACAATTTAAAATTTTATGAAAATGTTTTGGCTCTAGTGTAGAATTGGAGCCCCTTCGATTAGCGACATTTTTTTTTTTTTTTTTAAATTTTGGCGATGAAACCTCACTTCTGGTTACCATGATAGTTTTAACTTTGTTTTAGCTTCCTAATTTTATTTTAATAAAAATAGATTGATGTGTACATGGACAAATTTAAGGCAGTGCGCAATGCCTAGTTTGTGCAATTCTAGGATTTTTTTTAAAGTGAAAACAGATCGATGTGTACATGGACACAGAGTTTGTGCAATTCTTCGATTTCTTTATTTTGGTTTTGTGTAGCGGCCATCTTGAAATTGTGTCCTCCTGGCGCCGATGTTGGCGCCAAAAAAGAATCGCCAAGAAACAAGGGGCACCCAATTGTAAACTTTCACCGAATTTTTAATTTAAATAATCTGATTCATATTTTTATGAATGAAATAATCATCGAAAGTGTTTCAACATATATTTGACGCAATAAACATAGACATGTAATAAAATAAAAAGCTAACTTTGCATATAATGAAAACATTCAATAGAAAAAGCAGTTTTATACATAACATCAAATTAATATTGAAATATAGTAAAACATTTTGGTACTTTTCCGTTTCGCCGGCGCAAATCTCGCCAAGCAGACTTTATTGGCGACAACATACAGTATACATATAAAAAATATTAAAAAAACGTTAGTTCTAAGAATTCTTTTTTTGAAGGCATAAACATTTTAATATCGCATAAAATTTTATAAAAAGTCAATAAATAAAGACAATAAGTTTATAAAAAGACAATAATTTAAGAATTTACTATGCTTTCATGGTTCAACATCCTGATTCGCCGGTTTATATCACGTGACCCCAAGCGATCTCATCTCACGTAAACTACTCTACAAAAATCTAATGCTCTCAGTAATTATCTACATTAATTTCACGTTAAATCTTAATTTGGAACACAAGTTTAAATGCAAGAAATATTTCAATTCGTACGAATAGTTTACTCAAAAATTATGTAAAACTGCAGTGCTTTACTTCGCTAATGCATTCTCGTTAGAATTGAATGAATTTAACCCTTTTGACTTTACCTTTTCTATATTTTCGGCTTCGGATTAAGCGCTGTGAATTGCATCCTAATTGACTTAATTACCACGAAAATGGCCTTAGACATAAAATTGAAAACTATCTGATAAAATTTCTATGTAATTATATGCCAGTATTGAAAGAAACAATCAATCTGATAAGAAAAAGCTGCGACTAGTTTTGAAAATGAGGCTTAAAAGGTTACCAGCGAGAATATTCCGTTTGGCATCGGTTGTACCATTATTGGCGACTTTATCGCTTGCGCCGGCAAAACGGAAAAGTACCAACATTTTAATGCTTTTTGCATTAATCATGGCTCGGAGATGTTTAGGCATTGCATTTAGGAAATTCAAGAGCAATTTTTGGTAATTATCTCACATTTCAATACTGAATTTTGCTTAAGATCACGTGTTTTTCGATATTGAGCGCTTCTGAAGAAGTACAATGAATTTGTTTCTCAACTGATGACTTTAATATTTTAAGTTTATAACTCATAGTAGACATGGAATCCTCTCAAACTAACAAAGTAACTTCTGGCCTTAAGATCTCTTTTCTTTTGGTCTTGTTGCTTTTTTACTGTCTTCTCCATCATCCTTTTACAAGGACTTTGTTTCAGATTTAATTATAGAATGCGGTACTTACGTATAGTAAAAATCTTCAGAATTTTGAAGTACAAAAAAAAAAAAAAAAAAAAAAAAAAAAAAACACGCATAGCAATTATTTAGGGAATCAATGCGCATAACAAATATTCAGTTTCCAACGTCACCATTTTCGTATGCATTCCTTTTTTTTTATTCCAAGTTCCAAAGGCTTTTATAGAAAAAAATATGATTATTAAATTGTCTTAAATTCGACTTTAAAATTTGTGCTTGTAGGATGTTCCTGTAATAGTAGAAACAGAGACGAAAGTTTTGCAGAAATACAGTATTTTGCCGCAAAGTCGCTAAAGGAACAATCCTTCGAATCTTTTCGCAAAGCGATCGCTACGAAATTTCCCGGGCAACATAAACAAAAGTCCCATCAGCGACGGAGCGGTAAAGTCGCTGAACACTGGTAATTCGGCCGCGGTTCAAATCCCGGGAACGGGCTGGCTGCATGGGTGTTTTGTGGTTTCCCATGCGTAACGTGTATACGAACCAATTTCCCTTAGAAAGTCCTCCACGAAAGCATACTTTCCCTTAGGCAGATAGCTCTCGAGGCTTTGTCGTAATCCCATAAACCAAACCAAAATAAGCAAAAACCCATTTGCAGCTAGGTTTACTGTTGTCTTTTGGCAGAAATACATAGTTGAAACATAAAATATGTATGTAATACCTAATTTTATGCAATAACTATTCTTCCGTAAAGTTTTTCAAGTGTCGCCAGGGGGGTTGCGATAATACGTAAGTGCCCATCATCTATCTGTTTCTGCGTAATGTTTACAGGTTAATTTTCAGATTCATATTTCATAAATAATTATTAGCAAGTTGGAAAGGGTTGTACATCCGTCTTGAGGTTGGTTATAGATATATTTAACGTGGAACTGATGTGAGCATTTTCATAACACTTTATTATAACACGAACAAAACAAATATGATTTACCTAAAGCTGGTAACATAATATTCCGCTGGCGTGCAGCGTGTAACATCTATTATCGTGACATTCTCTTCTGGTTCTATAAACTCGAAACTGTGTCAAATGTGAAAGAGACCGAAAACGCGCGCCGATCGACTAAAGTGCGCATGCGTGGCGTTCATCAAATTATCACTGAAAATATAAGTATATAGATGAGAAGAAAATGGACATTGTTATTTATGAACGCTTAGTGAAAGATGGCATATGTGGAGCATAGAAATGAGCCCGACGGTACCAAACCGCTTAACACGTGACCATGCATTGTATTTGTTACTGTGTTTTCTGTATCAGCTTACCATACGTATGCAGTGTAATATTCAACCAATAAATATTGTTCGAACTCAGTCCTTAATTAAAATTTTAAAGTTTTCATAGTGGTTGTTAAGCTGTTTATTATGATGCCACTAGTAAAAAAATAATATTTAAAAATGAGGAAAGCTCAATAATGCAAAGAAAACTAATGAAAAACCACATAGTATATCAGATTATTATTTATCGGCTACTTCACAAGATGGGATTTGACCACAAGCGGAGACGAACGCATTGTAATGTGTACTTGATGAGTATTTTATTGTATTTATAAGTATTACGATGTTCAAATCGCTAAATGTTGAAAAATCTAGTCTTAAGATGAATTGTGCTTAACACGTTAGCTATCTGTGGCTGACACTAGACTTTCCGTTTAGGCCGTGTCAGTCATCTGTGGCTGACACTAGACTCTCCTTTTAGGCCACCATTCTGGGCCATGTCATGCCATTCTCCAACAATCTCCTCCTCCTCTTCAGAAGATGATAAAAATCCATCCATCCATTATCTAAAGCACCTTGGTAT